TTATGATGGTAATGATAATAATAATCATCATCATCATATTCACTATTATCCAATCTAATGATTATTATTAGGTTAACTCTCGGCAAGAGTACTTATTCGAGCAAATAGTATTATGTATTATGGATGATCCTCTACGTTTCCATCTACAACAATTAGCAGCCTTTGCTCGGGCATTCAAGTAGTAATCCCTTTCTACTATTATTATCATCATAATAATAATCACTAACAAGAACAAGACGGACATTACTTCAGAACTCTCAATTTCATACCAAGTGTTGATATATTATCCCAATACGGTAACGAAGCTCAACTACTAGGATGCTCAATTGACGCACTTGCTACTGTTGTCGCTTTGGGTAAGTAATAGTATTATTATTAGTATGATCCAACTCCATTATACTGTACTACTACCAGTAGGAGTAAAGGAACCTCTATTTACAGGTTCTGGGAAGTTGCAGGATACAGCATTGGATATACTCACACATATTGATGGTGAAGATTATCATAACAATAACGGAGCTACTACTACTACTACTACTACTCCTATTCACGAGTGTAGTTGTGAGGATATGATGTTCATATTAAGAGGAGTGAGCAATAATGGGACGCAAGTAATACTTTATTATCTAGGATTATGATCATCATGACCGCGCCGAGCAGTAGTAGTACTAGGAATACTTCTACTTGTTGTTGTTATCAGGTTGGTAATCGAGTTAGAGATGCATTCGAGAGGTATTGGTTACCTGAACATTATGATACGATTACAGCTGAAGAATTATCATGGATATTATGGGATATAGCCTCTAGTATGGTATCATCATCATCACCATCAATATATGATAGTAAGGATGATGAACAAGAAGATCAAGAAGAAGATATTACACCTCTACTACTACCACCAAGATGGATGATCAATAAGACTAATGTGTTTATAAGATTAGTATTGGATCGTGTTATCGATGACTTAACACCAGAACAATGTATACGTATATTGACAGTTATGGTATGGCTTAGAATCGATGGATGGCAAGATCTCTTACTACCAAGGATAACTAATTGTGTATTGCCGAATCAGGATCAAGCCATATCTAGAACATTACTTCAATTACTAAGTGTTTATATAAGGCTTACATCGCCTATATATTATCAATCATCGGATAATTACAATAATCGTGTATCAACAGAAGTCATAGACTTTTGTAAGTGGGTTGATGATACCATTACTACTACTACTCAATCATCAGCACACTTTATTGGTTATGAGGAGATGCATTTACATGATGATGATACTATCACCAACAAGAACTATTCGTTGTTATCATCGTCATATAATGGTTTAGATTGGATATCCCCTCTAGGGACTATGCGTCTTTTAAGATGTTGTCCCTTTATCCTTCCTTTAGCCCTTGTTAATACTTCTATTGTGGATGTACAACAGTTACATCGAGCTCGTACATTCCCTCAAGTACGTCGTATTCTATTATGCAATAATAATGATAATAATACCCATCATAGTAGTGAGGAGCAGCCTTCTTCTTCTTTTCCTAGCAGCAGCAATCACCATTATCGACGTTCATGTGGTATATGCCTAATGCCTCATACTATGGCTCCACCTGATGTTAGAGGTCGTCTAACACTAGATTGTCTACGTTTATTGGGATGGGAAGTACGTGTACTAGGGTCACATCATGACGTTATGGATATTACTACTATACAACAAGCTCTCCAACAACAACAACAACAAGGAGATGGTGGTGGTAATGGTGGTGGCCAACATGAAGCACTCTCTAATGATTATGAACAAACTAACATGCTAACATTAACGTCAGCTGCTGTTTCCGTTGCATGATAAAGATGTT